CTGTTTCCTCAACTTGGGCCAATACAGAGCTAGCCTTGCTGAACGTCTGAAAATAAAGTCTGGATCAGTACCAACTCTCCTTGGCTCAGCTACAAACCTCGGACAAGTAAGTCAACTAACGCTATACAGTTTTGTTGCTTTACTGTATATGGTTACCTAGCTTGTTATCCTTAGAATGTGGCTGTAACATTAGCTCTGCAGCTAACAGCTAACAGCCCAATTACTGTCGCTAATGTAAAGGTAGATAGCATCCAAGTATGTGTGTGAATACACACACTGTAACGCGAGTGTTGTACATTTTTTTGTTGTTTGGATAACCGTTCTGCTGTTCGTGTTATGGCGCACGTGATATCCACATTTCCAGATTGCAGAGCTTGATGTAATTGTAATAAGAAAGATTGTAAAAACTTTTAAGATATATGAAATATAAAATATGTAAACAAATAAATGATGTAATATCATTTAATCATTTCATAGATATAATTTTAAGTATTAATGTTGTTCAGTAAACATGCTTATCTTCTATCTTATTACAACTTGCACCTGGAATATATACAAAGTAATAAATTGAGTACTAATTTGACCTTATTGTCTCTACACAGGCCAGCACATCAAGTGCTTGCATTCAGCTGCCTCTCTCAAGGGATGTTGCCTGCCAGACAGATCACCTGGAAACACATACTGTAGGCACACAACTATCCTTAAAGACTCTGCGGCCCCACTTTAGAAGTGAAGGTATGTACCTGCCACCTTCAGTACATTTACTTTTGATGTAGTTAGTACGTATTCTGGCATTTCTCTTTGCTTTCATTATGTGTTGTTTCATTAGACTTTACTTTTGATGTAGTTAGTACGTATTCTGGCATTTCTCTTTGCTTTCATTATGTGTTGTTTCATTAGACTTTACTTTTGATGTAGTTAGTACGTATTCTGGCATTTCTCTTTGCTTTCATTATGTGTTGTTTCATTAGACTTTCCTTAGTAAAGTTAATTTTGGCCACAGGTGTCCAGGCAAATGTCTCCTGCAAAGATTTAGGTGTTGGGACATCCAATGCAGACCCTTTGTGCCTGTCATCGACACCTTTAAAGAGACCACCCAAAAGACCTCGTCTAGACCTCAATGAACGGCTGGAGGATAATACATTGGAGGAAAGCTCTTTAGTGGAAGCTTGAAAGGGACAGGATTCCACTTATGATCCTGCTGACTCCATCACAGCATCGTTAGACTCTACACTTAAGTCGTAAGTTACTGAGTGTGAAGATATATGTGTGGCTCGTGGCTCGCATTCTAACATAAAGAATTAGTCTCAATGAGACTGTTGTTGTTTATAGCATTACTTTTAGGATTGTTTATGTGCATAAATATTATTAAACCATGATGGACCTAATTTTTGAGAAAGTCTTTGTCAACCCTACGCCATACACTGATGCGCTGTTGGCCATCCCTGTCCCAGAGGACCTATCAGCGCAGTATGAGAAGCCGGACAAGGAGGAGGTCATTGCCAGCTTTGTGTCAAGGTTCAAACGGGGGGCAGTTTAAACCCTACGTAGTGGCCTTCCTCATCAGGAAATTCTGAGCGGATGCGCAGGACCACACAAGCTGGAATAATGACCCGGATTCTGCATCCCAGGAGGCCCCAGCACCAGCTCACAAATGAACGATAGGAGAGATACCTGTAGCGACTGAACAATTGATTCTGATATTTAGTCTTGCAGAGATTTAACATTGGTTTGTGTTATCTAAACAAATATTCCTATGGATCATCTTCAATGCTTGTTTTGTAACATTTTTCAAGTTTTTTTTCTCTCTGATGTAAATAAGTCTTGACACTGTCTACACTATTGAATGAAAATTAGACAAGATTTGTTGGTGGAATAAACAGTCAAGACTCAAGACAAGACTTTATTTCTTATTTTATTAACTTCTGTAACAAAGCACAACTTACTGGTGTATTCCTCTCAAACGTAGAGGACCATAGTCAGCTCTGTATATTTGGCCAGCATTCTGCAGAGAGTAGACATTGAGGTAGACAGGATACAATCCAGGATGGTCAACCATACATGTGAGCTGTTCTTCGACCTCCCGTAGTCTTCTAGTAACCTAATTAGAATTACAAATGGTAAGTGTCAATTTTAGGCACAATTAGTTGTCAAATGAAGAGACAAAGTAGTTTCCAATTTAGTGGTGAGAATGCTACCTGAGGTATCTCCAAGCAGCAAATATTCTCAGCTTCTGTGGGCATGGTAGCACATTTTCCACAACGGCACCTATCCAAAAAGGTAGATGTAATAATGGCAGAGGTCTGACTAATATAGTGGCGCTGGTTAGTGTCTATAGCTGATAATTTTTATATATATATATATATATATATATATGATAGCAAATCAGTGCAACATGAAAAGCCAACAACGTAGGCTAGCATTAGCTACATGATAATAACTGTAACCGCATACATAAACAAACCAACTAAAATACAGTATCCAGACACAATATTTTAAACTAACCATTCGAAAAAAACTGAAGTTGAGGTTTTCATGAAGCTGGATGACAGCATGCCCAGGAGACTACAGGCTGTCATTGAGGCTAAGGGTTGCCCGACAAAGTATTCATAGTTGTGTAAATACTGTCATACTAACAGCTGTCTGAATAATTTTTGGTTGATTGTAATCTATTACATACCTTTCTATCAAAATGATTAACATTATCAAGATGAATTTGTTCTGACACAGTTTAACTGTTCTTGTCATATTTTATTACCATTTTCTAAACTATAGCGAATAAACTGTTATAATGTGAGAAATGTTGAAGGTGTCTGAATAAATTTTGGTTTGACTGCATCTATTTGATAAATGAAGTTAACCAACTAACATTATACATACTCTTTTGGTTTCTGTACCCAATATTTAAAAAATGTACAAATGCAAAAAAAAAATCGGTATCGGTACTCGGTATCGCAAAGTACCAAAAATAAAAGTATCGGTATCGGGCGAGTACTGGAAAACGTGGTATCGGTGCATCCCTAGTGTCAGTGATTGTCTTCTGGACAACTGTCAGATCAGCAGTCTTCCCCATGATTGTGTAGCCTAGTGAACCAAACTGAGAGACCATTTTGAAGGCTCAGGAAACCTTTACAGGTGTTTTGAGTTGATTAGCTGATTGGCATGTCACCATATTCTAATTTGTTGAGATAGTGAATTGGTGAGTTTTTGTTAAATGTGAGCCAAAATCATCACAATTAAAAGAACCAAAGACTTAAACTACTTCAGTCTGTGTGCATTGAATTTATTTAATACACGAGTTTCACAATTTGAGTAGATGAGACTCATTATACTGACTAATATACTGACTCCAAATCATTACTGTGTACGAAGAGCTTCTAAACCCATTGCGGAGTCTCTGAATCTGAAAGACATTATCCTGATGGGCAAGGCCTGTGTGTTCAACACTGAAACAATTACTTTAATGTGTGCTGGTGTTTCTAAGCTAAAGCTCAATATGCTTGTCAAATGAGTTGTTTGTAGCATTGAAGGATCTTTCATTATTGACATCAATCTTCTGCCGCAACTCTAATATACAATCTCCTGACTTTTAATTAAGACTTTAATTTCAGCAATAAACCCAATCATAAAACTCAAAATTGGTTTTATAGCCCTGGAGATGAATTGGAAAGCAGTGGAAGAATGAGATCTTGGAGGCTTTTAATCATGGCGGGAATGCAGACAATCTGATTTGTGATTTGACAGGATGGTTGTGATGGGCATTCAGAATACTTACGGCTGTCCTGTAACGCCATTAAAGCTGCAGTAATTAGATACGCCATGCAGTGTTTTGAATATTTTACCATTTGGGTTGCTGCAATTTTTGAAAATATGTTAATAGGATTGGGTTTTCACTGGGGACTACAGTATAAGCATTCCTCTCACATTTGCCATGTAAAATAACTGTGTGAATATAATAAGTTATTGCCAACTATTTTATAAGACAATTGCAAAATAAACTACTCGCTGGTCGGGAATAATAATTAGGGTCATTAATATTAATTGTCAATTACTATACTTATTTATTAAGTTAAATTGAGAGTCTAGACACTTTAAGGGTGCTTTCACACTAGCACTTTTGGTAGAGCTGTATATCTCATTTCTGTTCGCCTTCAGCATTCTTTAGAGCATTTGCATAAGGCAGACGTAAGTGCCGTTATGTACTGAAGCTTTGGAAACAAAACCAACGGTTCAAAAGCATAAATATAAAATTGAAGAGAGCAATGCTACGCATTTTGCCGTCTTCTCCTGCGCCATCGTTACTAAGCAACGGGATAAACAGCTGCTGGCTTTATGGCAAACGAACCGCGGTTCAGACCCAAATAATATAATGTGAACACAGTCCAGCGGGGGCAGGGGGAGGGGGGAGCAATCGAACTCGTGTTCGGACCAAGCAATCGAAACAAGTGTGAAAGCACCCTGTGCCAGGCTATTACGATGTGGATGCAAGGGTGTTGTGGATTGTTGTTAAAGTGATATTTCACCCAAAATTGAAAATTACCCCATGATTTTACCTCAATCCATCCTAGGTGTATATGACTTTCTTTTTTTTTCAGACAAATCCAGTCAGAATTATATTTAAAAACGTCCTGGCTCTTCCAAGCTTTAAAATGTCCGGGCTTTATAATGGCAGTGAATGGGTGTTATTTTTCAATAGTCCAAAATAAGTCCAATAAAGCGCATCCATCCATAATAAAAAGTGCCTCACACTGGCCGAAACGGCTCCGGTGGGTGAATAAAGGCCTCCTGTAGCGAATCGATGTGTTTTTGTAAGAAAAATATCCATATTTAAAATTTTATAAACAATAATCTCTGGTTTCCGCTAACTTTCATACGAGCATTCACAATAGAGCGCCGTTCCAGGCGGATGACGTAGGACGTAGGCATAGCGTAAGCACCAGTGAGAAGTGATGAACGCGGAAGCGCAGAGGAGAGAGCAAAACAAAACACTGGTCATGAATTAGAAGCACAAAACAAGGATTCGTAAAGAAAATTGTCAAAGGATTTCGATATGAGCCAAGAGACTGGTTTTCCTTTGCCAAAGTAAGGAAACTTTGCTTCCTTTGCTCCTGTAAACAAACGTTGGTTCTCGCGAGACTAGCATATTCTCACTGGCGCTAACACTACATCCTACGTCATCCACACTGTTCTATTGTGAATGCTCGTATGAAAGTTAGCGGAAGATAGAGATGACCGTTTATACAATTTTAAATATAGATATTTTTCTAACAAAAACGCATTGATTCACTACAGGAGGCCTTTATCAAAATAAAAAAAACTTTAGAGGATTTACAATGCTGTTGACCGTTGAAACGCGCCATCATAGTCTTGTGAAAATGGTCCATTGGATTTGTCTAAACGAACTTAAAAATATACTTGAACTTTACTTAAGTATACTTACTAAAATAAACTTGAAGTATACTACTTTTTGGTAAGGGAGGCCAACTTCTTGCAGAGCCAAGCTCCAACCTGGAAGCTTCTAATAATTCTGAAGACCTTGATTAACTGGTTCAGATGTATTTAATTATATTTGGAGCAAGTTCATTTGAAGCCAAAGTTCAAAACCCAAAGCGCAATTATTAAAGGGATATTTCACCCAAAATTGAAAATTACCCCATGATTTTACCTCAATCCATCCTAGGTGTATATGACTTTCTTTTTTTTTCAGACAAATCCAGTCAGAATTATATTTAAAAACGTCCTGGCTCTTCCAAGCTTTATAATGGCAGTGAATGGGTGTTATTTTTCAATAGTCCAAAATAAGTCCAATAAAGCGCATCCATCCATAATAAAAAGTGCCTCACACTGGCCGAAACGGCTCCGGTGGGTGAATAAAGGCCTCCTGTAGCGAATCGATGTGTTTTTGTAAGAAAAATATCCATATTTAAAATTTTATAAACAATAATCTCTGGTTTCCGCTAACTTTCATACGAGCATTCACAATAGAGCGCCGTTCCAGGCGGATGACGTAGGACGTAGGCATAGCGTAAGCACCAGTGAGAAGTGATGAACGCGGAAGCGCAGAGGAGAGAGCAAAACAAAACACTGGTCATGAATTAGAAGCACAAAACAAGGATTCGTAAAGAAAATTGTCAAAGGATTTCGATATGAGCCAAGAGACTGGTTTTCCTTTGCCAAAGTAAGGAAACTTTGCTTCCTTTGCTCCTGTAAACAAACGTTGGTTCTCGCGAGACTAGCATATTCTCACTGGCGCTAACACTACATCCTACGTCATCCACACTGTTCTATTGTGAATGCTCGTATGAAAGTTAGCGGAAGATAGAGATGACCGTTTATACAATTTTAAATATAGATATTTTTCTAACAAAAACGCATTGATTCACTACAGGAGGCCTTTATCAAAATAAAAAAAACTTTAGAGGATTTACAATGCTGTTGACCGTTGAAACGCGCCATCATAGTCTTGTGAAAATGGTCCATTGGATTTGTCTAAACGAAGGAAGTCATATACACCTTGGATGGCTTGAAGGTGAGTAAATCATGGGGTAATTTTAATTTTTTGGTGAACTATTCCTTTAAGTAGTTTGCTAGTTGCTAGGGTGATCTGGCTGGTTGCTAGGTGGTTACTTGTTAGCCTATAGCTGTGTCCCAAATGACGCACTATACATGCACTTATACACCATGTACTTATGCACTATGTACTCAACCATGTAGTGTATAACACTCTCTTGAATTCAGCTTTACTTAAAGCTTAATTAATTTCTATCTGTGGATGATTTCTGGTGCAAGTTTCCAGGAGGAGACTTAAGCTGCGTCCCAAATGATGCACTATACACTATGCACTCATACGCTATGTACTTATGCACTATGTACTCAATCACGTAGTGTATGAATTATATAAGGTTATTTTGCAACTCAGCATCAGAGTCTGATAGCCCCTCCCCCCTTAGCTAAGTAATTAAAGCTGAGACAGTTGAGTGCATGAAGTGTCCATCATTCCACACTTTGTTTTTTCGGTTATTTAAGTGCATCATCCGGGTATATACAGTGCACTTTTTCTTTTTGGAATTTTCAGTGTGAACACACTACTCTCACTATTTATACTACAAAACGTCATATAATAGTGTATAAGTATGCGAATTGGGATGCACCTTTACTGTTTTTGATCAAATAATTGCAGCCCTGGTGAGCATAAAATGCATCTCTGAAAAATACAAAAAAATCTGAATTATTCCAGACTTTTGACTGCCAGTGTACTTCAAAATGTCCTGAAAACGTATCTAGGTGCTGCAGTGGGTGTAACAGCTAGTTTCCAT